GAATGCAAACTACAAATGTGAAATAAGTGCTCGATCAGGAAAGATTAGAGGGGGAGGGGGGAGGGAGCTTGTAATGTTGATTATCCTGTAACAGAATCTCAAAATATTTCGGACACGGCAAGCGGCCGGCCTTTGAATGCACTTCATATGAATCGGCTGCAAAAAGCACACACGATAAAAAAACGTCACTGCTTACCTCGTCGATCTGGTAATGTTATACCATAGCTGTGACCATAACTACACGCACCGGCCCATGGCGTTGTGGAAGTGGGCACGATATCCAATTGTGGTATGAGGGTGGCGACACTAAATCGTTTGTAGATGACTTAATGGTCTGCCGGGGAGATGTGAGAATTCGAGCAACTATCACATTGTGAGATATTGAGTCCTTTCCCTACCCGACGGAAGTACTTGTAGTATACTATCTACTAGCCACAGTAAGCATGGTTGCTAGAATTAGCACTTTTATCATAAGCACGCACCGAAGATGTGCTTTACAACTAAACCTTATTAATATTATAACAGAAGCATCTTAGTCCGTACAGCTCGAGGGATCGAACTGAGAGTGCGGAAGTCAAGACAAGCACAGTTTTGCTCATGCCCCCAAACATGTACTTAACCGAAATAGTTAAATCCAGATTCACCTTCCTTGTTCAGATCAAGGGTATATGAGCTCTAGAGAAGGCTCAGTCAGCGTCAACGCTGACAAATGATGGCATCAGTGCTAGCACCAGTATTACTACACTTCTTGTTGAGATTGAGGGGATATTAACCCTATGCTGACTTTAACCAGCGTCAATTCTGATTCAAAATACAGACTGAAATAGTACCAGCGAACACATTACTCAGCTGCACCCTAATAGTAACATTAGAAATAGCAGTAGTGGTTGTTAGCAGAACGAGCCCTGGCTTCTTAGAATCAGGCTAGACACCTACTATAGGTGAGTGAGGGTAGACAGTGCGCCTTAGAATCGGGCTAGACACCTACTATAGGTGAGTGAGGGTAGACAGTGCAGTAGTACCGGCGCAAAGTCTACTGTCACTTTATACTAAGGTTTAGGCGGTATTTACGGCTGCGGCCACACCCTCTCCCTGCGCGGTCATCTCGACTTGTCTTGCCACCGTTTAAATGCAGTGGAGAGGGTTTAGAATGAAGTAGTCATCGGCGCGTCTACTATCACTATAATTGGCCGCAGCCACCGTCCCTGCTCTCGGGCAAATGGTGGACATCACCAATTACGGTGGTCGAACTAACACAACACCCGACGTAATGCTTTGAGGCCTTTGAGCCCTATTCACACGGTTACTGTTGTGTTGTTTTTGTCTGAAAGTGGTTTACTTTCAATATAATGAAAACCATACATTGTTCTCTACCAATAAGAAGACACCCGGTAGTATACATAAAAGTGCGCAATAGACGTAGACTACCTCTTGTGTACTTAATGAGAAACATTGACAAACGGAGAAATGCAAGTCAATTTAAATGGAAATGTTACGGTCTTAAAAATCTCATAATTTGAAAATTGCTGAAAACATTAACATGCGCTTCATCGTGTGTGTGCCTTTTTTATTCAAAGGCCGGAATCCTAGGGTGGATGAATCATTTTAGGATTATGCTGTAAGATAATAAATACACTACAACCCTACCCCCAAAGTAGTCCTTCTTAACAGAAAAAAAACCTATTTCAGAACTGTGGCTAAAATTTCATGAGATCAGAGTCACCGACTGTAGACGGAGAGCCATAAAAGAATCGGTACTGTGCGAGAACCTGCGAACCAACCGCGCTTCCTCTCTTTCCTTTCAAATCGTGATACCAAGATATGGGTTTGAAATAATAATAATAATAATAATAATAATAATAATAATAATAATAATAAGAAGAAGAAGA